GAGGCAGTCTGCCTCCATAAAGATTTACAGTCTTAGAAATCCAATGAGGATCACTATGAGTCAGAATTGACTTGATGGCAGGGAGTTTTTTTGTGTGTTTAAATGATTTTCTTCTTTTTTATTTTGGTGAGTAGGTTTATTAATTTTTTTTGAGGCTATTCTATAACTTATTATTATCTTCTGTCATGGATTTGGGAGCTCTGGTGGCATAGTGCCTAAGGCATTTGACTGCTAACCAGAAGGCTGGTGGTTCAAACCCACCAGCCACTCCCTGGAAGGAAGGTTGGGCAATCTACTTCTATAGTGCTAATGCTTTGGAAACCCAAGGAGGGGTCGCTATGAGTTGGATATGACTTGATGACAATGAGTTTGGTTTGGTTTTGTTATAGATTGAATTGTATACTCCCAAAATTTGTATGAGCTTGGGTGGGTCGTTATTCACGGTGGTTTAGAAGTTATGTAGTGATGTAATGTGAGAGATATATAATGATACCCTGTGATGTGATCTGATGTGATAAACTGATCAAATGTAAAAGGATTCAGATTAAGGATGTGTTGCAATATCCTTAGTCCCATCACAGGCCTGATCTGACGTAAGCAGAGCTTCCCTGAGGTGTGGCCTTCAACATCTTTTATATTAAACTAAAAACTAAAGGATGGCCATACTACCATCAAGAAAGAGGAGCCAGGTGTGGAATGCATCCTTTGGACTGGGGGTCCCTATGCTGGGATCCTCCTTGGAACAAGAGACACATAGAAAGTTTTGCCCTAGAGTTAGCACTCTGAATTCAGACTTTTAGCTTCCTAAACTGTAAGAGAATACATTTTTGTTTGTTAAAGCCATCCACTTGTGATATTTCTTTTATAGCTGCACTAGAGAACTAGCCATCTTCTATGTTTAAAATAGTCTGTTCTATCTTGATATCATCTTGGCTTCTTGTCTTTTTGGAAGTTATAGAATTATATTATTTATTTCTTCATTTTGTTTGTAGTTGTCATCATTTATAAATTAATATCTCTAGTTCCCTATTTTCAGCCTTGTAGTTTATTTTTGAAACTTCTACATCTGGATTGGTTTCCAAGTGATGTTGTCATTTGTCTTAGTGACAGGTTGTTTGCCATTGTTAGTTCTCTGTCCAAATGTCTCTTGTTAACATTTCTTATAAAGTTGTTCTGGAAATGTTTTAATTTTGCCACTGTACTTGAGATAAAAGTTTTCTGGATATATAATTCTTGGTTGACAATCTTTTTCTTTCTGGATGTTATATATGTCATCCCCTTGCCTTTTTGCTTGCATGGTTTCTGCTGAGAAATCAGAGCTTACAATTATTGGTTCTCCCTTGTAAGTGACTTTTCATTTCTCCTGAGCTGCTTTCAGGATTCTTTATCTGTCTTTGGTTTTGGAAAGTTTGATTATGGTATGTCTTGGTATTTTTCTTTTGGGGTCTATCCTATTTGGGGTTCATCAAATGCATATCTCGTAGTCTTTTAGGATTTTGGGGATGTTGTCTTCCAACAAATCTTGAACAATTTTCTTCTTCTTCTTTTTTTTTTTGCCTCTTCCTGTTCTGGAATTCTGGTCACACATAAGTTATTCCTCTTGATGGTATCCCATATAATTCTTAGGCTTCATATTTTCATTCTCTTTTTTCCTTTAACAGATCTGTATTAAGAATTAGTATTCAATTTCACTACTTCTGTGTTAGATTAATTCAATTCTACTCCTTTACCCTTCCAAATGCATTGTCTATTTTTGAAATTTTAGTATTGGTTGTCTGGATTTCTATTTTTTTTTTTTTGTATGAGTCTATTTTTCCTTCATTTTGACAGCTTGTTCTTGTAATTTTTTAAAAAAATTCTTATAGAATTTTGTCTGTGGTTTCCTTGATCTTTCTCTCAATCCTTCGAAGATTCCTAAATATAATTCTTTTGAATTCCTTACCATGTGCTTCCAATAATATTTTTTCCTCTGGAAGATTTTTCTGGCCCTATATTTTGGTCACTTGCTTGAGCCACCTGTTTGTGTGATTTGAAGTTATCTGTAGTCTCTGAGACAATACAGTGTTATACCATGTTGGTTTGCTTCATCCTTTTTTTTTTTTTTTTTTTTTTTTTGTTTTTAATATATCTGGGCAACAGAGCAGGCATGTTACTCTGGTCACTAGTTTGGAACTCGGTTCTACTGGGCAACACATGGGGTTGCTGTGAGTTGGAATCAACTTGATGGTATTTTTTTTTTTTTTTTTTTGTATTGTCTTGTTTTAATATATCCAGGCAATGGTTGGACATGCTACTTTGCATGCTAGTTTGACAGCATGTGCATGAGTAGCTCAGAAGGCAGGAAGGGGCAGGAAAAGAGAACTAATGGAAACAGGGAATCCAGTGAGGAAGTTGGAGGAGTGCTATTACATTGGGAGGATTGCCAACAATGTCACAAAACAAAATGTGTATACATCATTAAATAGAAAACTAATTTGCTCTGTAAATTTTTACCCAAACCACAATAAAAATTAAAAATAAAGAAAATGCTATAGAGTAGTTCCACTCTGAAAAACAAAATAAACAATCAAAAAAGGATCAAATTAGGAGTTATTCTGGGATGAGAATGAAAAAAAATAAGAAATAAAAAATAAAAAAGGAAATGGTACTCCCAATTATTTTCCTGGATGACTAAATAGTGTAAAATTGTGCAGTGCAGTGAATTGCTTAATATGGCCCTTCTAGCAATTGTCTTCCCTTTAGTGATGTATTGTAAATCCTAATCCTTATGCTGGTTTAGGGTGGGATACATCTTGAGTCCTGCCTTGCTGAAGGGAGTGATTCAAGTCACCACCCTTAGCTTCTTTGAGGGTATATATGTGAGTGTTTTGGTAAAGCTTGTTCTCTTGCTCTGGTTCCGTGTTTGGTTTGTCATGACCTCACCCCTGGATTTGAGACAGCAGCCATCATTTGACCTGCAATTTGGGTTCGCCAACCCCTGCAACCATGTGAATTGGGAGAATTCTCCAGACTTAACCACAGACCTGGGAGTTGCCAGCCTGCCAGCATCCTAGCCTGCACCACCACCACATGGGCCATTTCCTTTGGTGTTTCTGAGTTCTCTGAGACATTACAGTGAACTATGGAACCCTAAAATGGGAGGGAGATTATTGAGGGAAGGAGGAGGAATTGAGGTCAGAGATGATGGAGTGGCACCATAGTTTGGAAAAGTTAGACGTTTGGAACATCTTTTACCTCTGCCTCTTAGGGACCAGCCTTGGGCTGATCTTTCTATGAGAAATTATTCAAGCAAGTTGGAAATATAGCATGTTTGCAAGACAAGTTTAATTTTCTGGAGTGGTGTAAACAACCAGTGAGTTCAGCTGTGAAGCAAAAGTGTGAAGGTGAGAGTCCCTCAGAAGAAGGGCTGATGATTTACTGCAGGAAAATCAGCCACTGAAACTCTATGGAGCATAGTTCTACTCTGATGCATATGGGGTCACCATGATTTGAATTTGACTTAATGGCAACATTTTTTTTTTTTTTTTTTTTACTTACTTTCAGAGACTCAGTCCAAACACCTTAGGGAAAGTGAACCAGGTATTTTTTTTCCCCATCCATTAGTGCACTACTGTTTTCAGTTGTCAATGCTCCTGTTCTTGATATGTGGAATCACTGTTAAGAACAGGTGAAAGAACATAGTCATGTTCCACCTTGTTCATAAATGTAGGACAGTCCTTTCTTTCCCCACTGACAAAGGGAGGATGAAGGGAGGATGATTCAATGTCTTTAGTTTTAATGGCCTATGGCGCTCACACGACTTCCAAGTTCACTGGCCCCAGTTAGGTTTCTCTTCCCCAAACCTACCATAATGCTGTGGTGATTGGGTCAGGAGAGTCTTCTAGCATTACCTATAAGCCATCCCTGAGCCAACATTCCACCTTTGATAATTTCTACGGTGGCATGGAAATAAAGAAAACAATTTTACCAACATTCTATTCTCACTGTCCTCAAACACATCATTCCTTTATGTTCCCCTTTAGAGACCTTTGGTCTTTTATTTCCAATAAACCATAAAACTCATTGAGATCTTCTTAATATATCAGAGAGGTTCAAGTAAAGTTAAGTGTTGAAAAAGACTATACATTGGGATATTCTTCTTAACACTCTAATACAAACTAATGAAGAGTTGGTAAAGAGTTTGTTTACAATGGTGACAAAATAATTCCTGTTAAATTCTTGCCTTCCATTTATAAAACTAAGAGAATCCTTGAGAGTAATTCTTTCTAGAGAATTTAAAATCTGATGTCTTTGCTTTTAGGGTAATTGTCTACTATGAAATGGAATTTTCTTTTCACTAAAGGAAAAGTAATATATAATTTCACATAATTAGACAATACTGCTTATTTTGTCATTTTCTTTTTTAAACTTAGTATTGAGGTAGAACAGAGAGGGTTAAGAGAAGAGACTCTGAAGCCTGAGTGTTTGACTTATTTCCTATTTGACCCTGAGCAACTGTCTTAACTCAATGGCCCAATCTATAAAATGAATAGTGTAAAAATAATGATTGTACTTGCTTCATAGGGTTGTTATGAGTATTTAATGAGTTAATATTTGTGACATGTTTTGAACAGTGTCTTATACACAGTATGTTGTTGTTGTTATTATGTGCCATCAAGTTGGACCCAACTCATAGCGACCCCTCCTTGGATTTCCAAGGCAGTATCACTACGGAAGTAGATTGCCCAACCTTCCTTCTGAGGAGTGGCTGGTGGGTTTGAACCACCAGCCTTCTGTTAGCAGTCAAGTGCCTTAGGCACAATGCTACCAGAGCTCCTCCTCTGACCCAGTCACTTATTTTTTAGGTAATAAGAAATTTCATTGTAATCTTAACATGCATATTTTGACTAACGAGTTGGCAGTTTCACAATTTTATTGGTCATTTTCTTCCTAGTGAGAGGTTAAGGCAGAACTAAAACTGTGTGCTTTCCTAATGCCTTCCTGGTCTCTGACAGCTAGAGTTACTTGGTGGCTATATCTTCACCCAGCCTGAGCAGTCTCTGGAAGCCCAGTCTGAGCTCCTGCATCCTGAGTGCATAGACCATGGGGTTGAGTGCAGGGGGGATGACATTGTGCAGCACATTAAGGAGTACAGGAATAAGGGGAATCTTTTTCTCTGCTAGGTGTGTGACAGATAGCACAATGATAGCTGAGTAGAAGAAGAGAATCAGGATGAGGTGGGAAGTGCAGGTGCTCAAAGCCTTGGACATTGTTTCTGTTGAGCTCAGCTTCAGTACAGAGCTGAGGATTAGAGCATAGGAAGAAAACACCAGAGCCATGTCACTCCCAACCAGGATCCATGCTAAGACTAGTTGATAAAATTTGTTCACAGTGATGTCATCACAAGCCAGGCTGATCACTCCTAAGTTAGAGCAGAGGCAGTGTTCAATCTTATTCCTGGAGCAGTAGTGTCTCTGGGCAGCCAGGACAGGCACTGGAATGGTCAACAGGCCATTCCTGAGCACCATGAATCCTGTGGCTTTGACCACAAAAATGTCAGTAACTATAGAAGGGTATCGGAGGGGGTGAGAGATGGCCACATATCTGTCCACTGCCATGCAGAGGAAGATGCCAGACTCCATACACAAGAAAGAGTGGATGGCATAGATTTGAGCAAAACACTCAGGGAGGTTGATGGCCTTGGCATCAAACCAAAAGATAGCCAAAATTTTGGGCATGACAGTGGTGGCCAGACCAATGTCTACCACTGCCAGTATTCCCAGAAAATTGTACATGGGCTCATGTAGTGTGGGCTCACATTGTATGGTGATCATGATGAGGAGATTGGCACCAAGAGCTAAGAGGTAGAGCAGAGCCAGGGGCACAGAGAGCCAGTGCTGCCACTCGTGAATGCCTGGGAGACCCATCAGGATGAAGTGGGAAATCTGAGGGCTGGAACTGTTGGTAACACTGGTGGAGGTATCCATAGCACAGGTGGCCTGGTCTCAGTGTCTCTCCACAAAACTGAAAGAGGAAGAAAGTTGTGTTTGAAAGTTCAGCTGAAGATCCTGATTAGAGACCACTATTCAATGATCCAGTTCTGTTTGTTCATGACTCGTCCTAAAATTTTCTTTGAAATATTCCACAGAGGAGCAATGAAGAAAGCCAAAATAAGTTTTAAACAGAAAGGCTGAAATAGTTTTTTTGTCATTGTCACTTGTATATCTAATAAGCAGTTTCAAATCTATCAACAATCATTTTACTACTAACAGATAAATATTAATATTTGATTTGTACTTCCATTTTTTCTGTTTTTTTTCCCCAACACTTTATATCATTATATAAAAATACATTTGTATCTTACTTTTTTGTCTGTTAGTACAATAAAGACATAAAATAAGTGGTCAGTAAAAAATTGTTGAATGAATGCATAAATGAAGCAAAAACTTATCAATATCATTAAAAAACAACTTGTAAACCCAATTGCTTTGAGTGCCTTATATTTTTATGTTTGGTTATTCTATAATTTACTCACTAGTATGTTATTATTAATCTTTGCCAGCTATACACATTATTTACTTTGATTAGGATTTCAAGTGATACAAAAGTAAAATATATAAAAAACATAAACATATTTAACTTTTATTTTAATAGTATTTCAATTTTATTTTAAGATGTGATATATACACATGATAAAAATTCAAATACAATAAAAAATACAAACAATGGAAAGACTCAGATGCTTGAACTTCCCAAGTCTTTTTTTTTTTCATCAGAAGCATTCAATAGCACGAATTTCTTGTGAATCCTTCTAGAGACAGTTTTCACATGGACAAGAATATATGTATATATATTTCCCACAAAAGACAAAAACAAATGGTAGCATATTAATCATATCCTTGTTTCCTTTCCTTTCCTTTCCTTTTTTGACTTAATTATCTTGGAAAGTGTTCCATATCAACACATATAGGTATACCTGATTATTACATTACAAGATTTTTTACCACATGGTAGGGGAGATTCTTACTAATAACTTCAAATAAGAGTGGTTATAGCGGTTTTTTTTTTTTTTTTAGGTATTATATTAAACATATAAATAAACTGTAATCTTTACACCTTGGATTCTTTCCATTCAGATTAATTTAG